CTGAGATAGTTTAATTGTGTTATGCATAACTATTAAGATGTCTAGCTAAAGGTTTAAGACAAATGTGAATAGAATGAAACACATTTTTAGCAGCAAGTGAAATTGCACAAATGATTTGTAAATTGTGTTAATTTAGAGACAGAAAACATATTAGATAGGAAATTTAAGTATTGACTTGCCTAATATGATTGCTTAAATAAGATAATGTGATAATGCTATTTCTTAGTGACTGAGAGTCTCTTAAAAATGACATAGTGTTTGCCAACCAATAATAATGGCATTTGGATTTTGAAGTCAAATCTACAATCTAAATAAGTGTATGAGTATATGTATGAGGCAGGTGTAGGCATAATAATGATGTTCCGTTACACACCACTTTATTATTAAGATTTGGAGAGAAGCAGATATTAAAGTGAATATACTGTAGACTTGTAATGTTCTGTTTTACTGTTTTTTTATTATTGACTTATTTTTAATGTGGCTTTTTTGAAATATTAAGGTATTTTCAAGTAGTGAGATGAGATTTAGATTTTCTCTGGACATTGATATCAATATTATATTGTTCAGATAATAAGTAGATAGGATCACAAAAAAACCCTGATGGAGTGGGTGAGGAATATTGTAGAATATTTTGGATGTGAACAAGTAAAAAATCTGGTTGATGAATCTGTGATGTTCTAGCGAGGGTAATAGCTTTAATGACAAAAAATAGTTTTATATTTCAATATTTTCAAGTATTGTTGTAAGCTTCAAGATTGCTTCAGATAAATTATATGAGGTAATATTTTGACAGAAAATGAATGGCGCATTTTGTGTTATAACACAATTTTTTTTTATAAACTTAGATGTCACTGTGACTGCTTATTTTTTTGCACTTGTGTGTGAAGATATTAAGTACTAGGATGTGAACGTTGTTGATTATATAGGCTTCTGTAACAAAAGACTGCCATGTTTTTTTAAGTATTTATTTTATTGTTATTCTTGTCCCCAGTAACCATCCATACATGTGCCTTTATTGATGCATTGAACAGGGACATGGTTAGTGTCAATGTTCAAACTATATGTGTGAAAAAATACTTTTATGCCTTTTCTGATGGTGCTTGGCTTGAAAGACCTTCCTGATTTTTCACCATGTTTAAATCTTCCAAACATAGACCATACATAAAATTAGGAATATGTCATGGATTAAAGGAAAAGAAAATTCACTTTGATGAGCTTTCAGTGCAGGGAGATTAAAACAAATGAAAGAAGGAAGCTATTGAATCTTGATTATGAACTTCAGTAAGGATGAAAAAGTTCAGAACTTCATGTGCTATTGGATAGGAAAAATGCGTTGTTTGCTGGTTTCTCTGCTTTTATATATTTTACCTAAGATCTTTCAAATATGGAAATTTGTAGTATAAATAATTTGACCTCTTTTGTAGATTTTTGTTTTGTTTCACTCCGTGTTCACACTTACTAGCAATGATAATAGCCATATTTCATCCTTTTAGGGTTAAGGATGACTATATTAAGACTTATTGTAAGAAACTAAACAGGTCATTATGTTGGATTGTATTCATAATTCATGTTTATAGTTTATTTTTGTGTTCACTTATGATTATATGGAATTTCAGTTCATGTCATTCCCGTTTTTTTTTTTCTTTTTCCCCCTTTTTTTACAGTGATGAATTTTGTCATTGATTTTTTTTTACTCATATTTTGATGTGGTGCTCTCTAAATTTTTAACATTCCACTTACTTTATTAAGAAAAAAAAAAGGATGGTAAAGAACAAAAGAAATAAGGTAAGTAGAACTCACACACACTCACATAGGCATGCTCACACACACACACACACACACACACACACACACACACACACACACACACACACACACACACACACACACACACACACACACACACACACACACACACACCCACTCACTCACTCACTCACTCACTCACTCACTCACACACACACACTCACACACTCACTCCTCACACACTCACTCACTCACCACCACTCACTCACACACACCACACACACACACACACACACACACACACACACACACACACACACACACACACACACACACACACACACACACACACACACACACACACACACTCACATCACTCACTCACTCACTCACTCACACTCACAGCACCCCCCCACCCCCACACACACAGTAAATGATAATCAGTTTATATCTGTGGTATTTTTTCTTATTTCTTTTAATTGGCAGATAAGGCATTATTTTATCCACAAAATAAGTAATTTTTGTGTGTCAGTACTAGAGTTGTAACAAGAACTAGTCTAAAGGTGGATTACAGAAGCAAGAAAGTTTAAATGTAGTTTATCTAACCCTTATCTGTATATATGTACAGTATATTGTATAGGTCTGTATGCAGCTATCTTTTGTTTTGTAGAACTTGCCATGCACTACCCTGGTGCAATTGAGTATACAGGGTGTGCAAGAAAAAGTGGAGAATGTAATGGCTGATTGTGCTGTGGACAACATGCCATAGTTTCAAGTAATCACTAAATATGGTTATGCATTTTCATAGGTGAAGAAATGTAAAACTCTTACTTTGCACAAACCTGTGGCATTTACACATGCTGAACTAAGTACATGTTAGGCACTATGTGCAGTCACCCACTAGAGTGAAGAATTAGAAATGCAGAAAATATATGTTTTTTCAGAAGTCTACATTTTTGGCTGTGGCATATGACTTTTTAGTAATTTCAAAGGCTGTATCTACTCACTGATTGGATGCAGGGCAACACATATCCATGTAGCAAATATGAGAATCAATATTCACTGAAGGTTAAGTGACTGACTCAGAGCTGCCAACTTTTGAAAAATGGTGATTAGGGTTATCTCTATATTTTGACACAAACATGATCTTCCTCAGAAAAGGGATTCCACTGTTGTAATTGGTTAACAGTGCATGGTCAGCTAACTTTCAACAAAACATTTGATTGTTTTAAAGATGGATTTACCATAGGCCAGTCCACAACTTGTGGGCCAAGATCTGCTGTATTCCTGATATAGTGTGAACTAGAAAATGACTGAGGGAGAAGATCTGCATTTTTTAATTATCAGTGAAACTGAGTACAGCCCTGACATGTCAATTTCTTGGTATTGTATTCTACATGTCACAACATAATTTTACTTCTGCTTGACTTCAGGGAGCCGAGTAAGTATTCTCCACAATCTGACCAGTCTTTGGTATTGACTGGGCAGTTTGCTGGGGAGATAGAGACAGTTCTGGTACAAGTATTAAGAGTTGGATGAGGTTCTGCAGGGATGGGGTTGCCAGAGAGATCACTTAGTTTTGATAATGCTATAACTTCAGCTTCAGATCAGACTGTTGTGAGAAGGGCCTGATCGCGTCCGATAAGGAAAGGGACTCTGCCTACATGTTTTTGGAGACATTGTTGAAAGAGAAGAGTGTTGCTTGAGTAAGGAGCTGTAGGGGGGATCACGAAAAATTGGTCCCATTTAGCTGGGCTAAATAGAGTAGTTAAGATATTTGTAGGGTTGGTGGTGGTAGAAGGACAGGGGCGTGTGGAAGCGGGAATGTTGTTGAGGGGGGTAGTTTTACGGAGAGATGGAGAATAAGGCTGTAAGGTAGTAATAAGGGAGGTTGGGGTGTTTGATGAAGAAGGTTGTAGGGGTAGAGTTGATGAATTTGAGGGAGGATAGGAATGTCTTCTGGAGATTGAGTCTCTGCTTGGGTGGGTGATACACTAGTAGGCATTGAGGAGTGGGTAGTAGTTTCAGTGTTCGGAGTCGTGGTCGAAGGAGAGTCTGGGGTTGGGGAGCTGATGGTGCTATTTGATGAAGGGGCATGCGTCATTGCCCCTAATAGGGGTATTACATCTTCATTACTGGCCATGGGAAGCCTTGATTATGTAAAGGGACAGAAACAGTGCCCCTTAAAGGGGTAATGGCAAGACAATTAAATCTGGGGAGTACCGTGCCCATGGTTCCCACAGGCCGTTCAGGACTGGCAGAAGGTCAGCCTTTCATCATTTCAGCATGGCTCTTACACCTTAGCAAGTAGATAATAGAAGGGGTTGGAGAAGGGACGGAAACAAAAAGCTGGAGGGGGAAAGACCATGCAAAATTAGTTGAGTCGAGGGCTGAGGCCCTAGGCAGGGGAGATCACTGCATTGGGTCTCGGTCTCCGTCTCCTAAGCCCCCCTACGACAAAAATGGGCAAGGGATTGGGGGGGAGGACGAGGACAAGAGGAAGATGGGTTGGTGTGGATTGTAGTTCTGTGGGGGAGGAGGACAATAAGGATAAAGAGTAGTAACAAGGGAAGAGGGGGTAGACACTGAAGAGGACTGTGTAGCAGGAGATAAAGAGGAGAATGTTGGGAGAGAGGAAGGGGTGCTTTCTGGAGGTTGAGTAATAACCTGGGTGGGTGTTTTGGAATGGTTAGAGTTGTCTGTAAGTGTCTAAGAAAGGGTATTAGTATTGGGGTCGGAGCCGTGGTCAAAGGATGGGCAGGGGTCTGAAAGCCAAAATCAAATTCAGATAAGCTATTTGACGAAGGGGCAAGCCTTAATGCTCTTATGAAGGGTACAGAATCTTCATTATTGGCTATGGTGAGCCTGAGTAAAATGGGGAAAAGAAACGGTCTATGCCTCAGGGTCTACCAAACGGGTAAGGGCTAGGCAATTAACCCAATGCTGACGTATGGACGAAGTGGAACATATGGACGGGGTTGTTGGCGCGCATTGGCAGTTTCCCCTGTTTGCACCCGGCTCGTTCGGTAGTTTGCACGCGACATTTAGCACCTAAAAGGTTTTATTTTGCTATAATTTATAAAAATATTAAAATTTTGAAGGTTTACCTTCATTATAGGTACCATTGCCTAAAATCTTTACCATATAAATGAAGCCACTACTATCGGAGAAAAACAAACTCCGTCCAATGAGCCAGTGGTGCGGGAATGGGCATGGCTTTCGGTCCACCCATGGCATGTATGTACACCAGGGGTCAACCAAGGGAATAATGTGCCCATGGCACCTGGAGGCCATTGTGACTGACACAAAGCCAGCCTTTCATCCTTTCAGCATGGCTCTCACACCTTAGGAATGGAATAGAAAAGGGGAACAAAAAAGATACGGAAGAGGAAAGAAGAGAAGAAAGGACCACGTAAAATTAGTTGAGGTGTGGGCTGAGGCCCAAGGTAGGGGCGATCCCCTATGTTGGGTCTCAGTCCTCATCTCGTAAATCTCCCATGACGACAACGACCAAGGTATTGGGAGGGTATTAAGGGTAAAGAATATTCATTATTTGGCTGTGGTGAGCCTGAATAAAGTGTGGAAAAAAAAAATGGTCTACCCCTCAGGGTCCACATAAGGGGTAAGGGCTAGGCAATTAACCAAAGGAATACCCTGCCTATGGCTCCTGGAGGCCATTTGTGACTGACACAAAGCCAGCCTTTCATCCTTTCAGCATGGCTCTCACACCTTAGGAATGGGATAGAAGAAGGGGATGAAGAAGATACAGAAGAAGACAGGAGAGAAGAAAAGACCAAACATTATTAGTTGAGGTGAGGGCTGAGGCCTAAGTCAGAGGTGATCCCCTACATTGGGCCTCAGTCCTCATCTCCTAAACCCTCCCATGACAACAATGACCAAGGTATTGGGAGGGAAGTCAAACAAGGTTTCTCATTATATTAAGTATTAAGTACTTCCTCAAATATTTTATTACCAAATGTGAAAAATGTAGGTATGTAAAAGTCCTCATCTCCTAAACCCTCCCATGACAACAATGACCAAGGTATTGGGAGGGAAGTCAAACAAGGGTTTTTCATTTTACTAAGTATTAAGTACTTCCTCAAATATTTTATTACCAAATGTGAAAAATATAGGTATGTAAAAGAATAAAAATGTATAAAAATACCAGAAATTATTTCAAATAATTCACGGTAAAGGCTCTTATATTCAATAATCAGTCCGTTATAAATGCTAAGTTGTATCATGTTTAACACAACTTTCATGACACTCAAATATCACTGTAAAACAATGCTAAACATTGGTTTTGTTGCCAATCTAAATGTTAAATTAAACACATATTTAGGAGTTATTTCTGGTTACATGCTAAGGTGTAAAAATCTGAATGTTAAAAAGTCCAGGACAAGTATTTTTCAACTATGGACAGAGTATTTACTTTAGTCTAGCTTCAAGTAATCTTTTATATACAAGTTTCACATGGAGGACATTTCTTTGATTATTTATGCTTGAGATTCTAGCTAAAGATGAATTTATCACAGACTTCATATACCTGTACATAGTAAAAACAACAACTAAACAATATAAATACTTATTCTTTCTGTATATAAAAATATTGGACACAAAAGATATTTTACCTAAGATATATACAAAGGAATTAACAGAACGTATCTTCTCACTGAATTAGATAAAATAATGTGAGATATTATGCTGTAAAGCTCATATATCACACTAAAAAAAAGAGCCTTCAATCAGATCCCTTTCATAAGACTAGACTATCTCTCTACTCGATTCTTTTTATTATGTTCACACTGTTCATTCATGAGCTTGCGTTTGGTGCTACTACTGCTGTCTGAATTACTTGTCTTCTCCTTATCAGGGGGGCCTGTACAGGGATTAGAAGGCTCTGTAAGGCAGTCTGTGATGACACCAGATGCATTTTTGACTAACTTAACTTGCCTCTTTTTGCAGTATTCCGTAAGTGCTGACATCTTTTCTTTCATGAACTGGATTTCCTGTGTGACATTTCCCTGAATGTACTCCTGCAAAGACAGTGATGAAATCAGATTAATAAGTAAAATGCAAAAAAGGAAAGGAGGGAAAGTGATGATAGAGAACAGTAATTGGTGAGCTGAAGATGGAGATGGGAATGAGAGATTGTTATAAAATTAACACAAACATTATTCTATATCTTGATGTGTGCTAATATTTTGAATAAATAAATGTTCTAGACATCAAAGGTCATATAGCACTATGGTAAAGTATTGTGGTGAAAGGGGTTTAGAGAAGTTCTTTATTAGAACAAAATGTCTTAGATTTCAAGTCATATGGCATTGTAAGATAGTATGGTAGTGAAAAAGGTAGACAGAGGGGGAGTAAATGGGGTAGGATAAGGATTGATAGGAGGGGAAGGGTTAATGGCCATAGCCATCATGACATCATCATGTACTATGCCTATACGCATCATAACTCACTCACCCACTCACTGAGTGTACATAGCACAAACCCTGCCAGAAAAACTAAACTGATAATTCTGGCCCTGTCTTGATAGGGTTATTAAGGATTATAGTTGATTAGATCGAATGGAGGGTATTTATAGATCTGAAGAAGGAGAACTGGTTGTTAATTGAAAAGGTGGGGCATTCCATATGTCAGGGAAGAGGACATGTAAGAAAAAGTGAGGGTATGGGCTTCAGTAAAGTGGGGACACAATAGAAGGTCATCCATATGTTATTGAATATTGATAAGAGGAAGAACAAGGAAGTAAGGGGAAAGTGTTGTAACATACAGCAATGTATACTGTCTGGGCCTTCATGAGTTGCGGTGTGACTAATGCGTAATAGATTTCAGAAGAAGAAAAAGGGGCATGATAGGATTCTATAGAGGACAGGGAGAAGGAGAAAGGAGTGCACTCTTTGTCTGATGTTATGGAGAGAGGAGTAAGAAGAAAGGTGAGAACTGCTAGTAACCTGGCTACAGTAGGCACCAAGTTCAGTAGCAACTTGAAGAGGGTCAGAGATGAGGCTGTTGTGGATATGGGGATGGGGGCAGGATGAGGAGGATGTTTACCTGATGGTTTATGAACCTGCCACAAGAATGCAGAGACATAATTTTGCCAGCTATATGTGATGGAGTTTCTTATTGTACTGTGCAAATGAGTAGAAGAATGATGGAAGATCAAGAGTAGAGAGAGTGGTAAAGGTCTGCCAGTCAGCTCTGTCAAAGCAGCAGTGTGGGGACTTGGGGAGTTGGACACAGGGAGTAGGAGAAAGGAGAATAGAAAAGTGATCACTATAATAAAAATGGTATAGAACTGACCAATGGAAGTCTAGGCCAAGGGAAGGAAAGAGCAAAGAGAGAGATCAAGGTATGAAAAGGATTGGGTGCACATATCAAAGTGAGTGGGATAGTTTAAAGTTACAAAGACAAGGTTAGTATCTGAGAAAAAGTGTTCTCAGGAGCAACCTCGGGAAGTAATAGTAGAGTCACTCTAATAGTGTGGTGACAGTTGAAATCATCGGCTAATGGAGAAAGTAAAGTTTAAAAAGTAATAAAGTCAATGGGAGATAAGAAAGAAAGTAGATTGAAATAATTGTGATCCTGTGGCAAAGAAAGATTAGAATAATTGTGCAACAGATAGTGGTTGGAAAGGGAGGTATAGTGTATGGTGTTTTTTGGTGGATGTGTACAGAGGAGATAGAAAAAGAGTGAGGGGATGATATAAAATAATAATTTGGAATAGGTACTGGAGGCTGTGTTAGGAAGGTCTCTTTAAGATCAGTAATGGATGGGTTGTAGGAAGATATGAGGAACTGACAATCAGGCCTGTGTGAGCTAAAGCCTCAAATGTTCCACTATAGAAGAGCCATTGTGGATTCATGTGTGTATCCAGGAGGGAATGGAAGGGATAGTGAGGAGGGATGGGGTGAAGAATATGAGGGGGTTTGGTTTGGGTGGAGGAGAGGATGGAGTATGTTGAGAAGGAGAGGATGGAGTATGTTGGGAAGGAGTAGGGGGAGTATGCTGGGAAGGAGTAAGGGGAGTATGTTGGGAAGGAGTAAGGGGAGTATGAGGAGGAGGATGGAAGTTGGCAGTCACTCTGAAAGCAGGAGTGAGGGGACAGGAACTGGAGGATGGTTGAATTTTCTTAGGGTAATGTTTAAGAAGTTTCAGAGGTCCTCAAGAATTTCTGGAGGGGAGCTGGGCAGGGAGGTTTGGAAAATGAAAGATTTTTTTTGAGGAGGTGAAGAGGAGAAAGGCATTTGAGGAGTAGAAAATGTAGTTGTGTGTGTGGATGTTGTAGGTGAAGACGGGGCTGAACATTTAGCTTGTCTGGAGTGATAGGTATGGCAAGGAGGAGCAGACACAGGGGAAGTTGTGGATATTGGATTATCTGGATTTAGAATGGAAAAACAATTTGATTGGGAGATAGGGGAATTAGAGGTGAGCAGGTGAGGAGTTAGGGGAAGAGGTACTGTGAAAGATGTAGAGGTAGACTGAGTAGAGGGGAGAGGAGTGGAATGATGGATTGTATTGGAGTAAGGAGTGATAGAAAAACCTCAGCAGCATGCTTCCTGCCTGGTTTCTTTATAAGGCCAAGTTTGTATCTGTGTACTGATACCTCAGACTCAATCTTGTAGGCAGGGCAACTCCTATAAAATACAATTGGCACATATGTGTAATTGTGCAGGGCAATTTGAATGGTCAAGGCCAGGCTGGGCAGTTGGGGGGGGGGATAGTCTGACATAGTAAGATTCTCAACCAATATAGACCTTATTTGGAAGGTTTTATTTACTGAAGGTAATCTTGGCAATATTGACATGGGGCTAATGGCAGCCTCTAGGAGATATAGTGTAACACTGTACTAATACTGTATCATAGTCAGTAAAGTAGGCAAACAGGTCTTCACAGTCTGATTGATCCTTGTCATAGACAAGGCAATCAGCTGGGGAGATGAAACAGTTCCAGTACTAGTATTAAGGGAGGAGTGGGGTTGAGCAGGAACAGGTTTACCAATAAGGTCATCCAGCGTAGATATTGCATGGGCTTGAGATTCAGATGTAACTGTGAAAAGGTGTAAGAATCAGGATGGCTGTGGAAGGAGACTTTGCCTACTTGTTTTTGAAAAATCATCTAATGGTTATAAGATCCTTACTTTGTATTTCTTCAGGTGTTGTGACTTCTGTGGATGGAGGATAACTTCATCTTTGTCATACATAACCTGACTGCAGAGTTCACAAAAGAAGACTGTTGTTGAATG